TAAAAAAACAGCTGTTTTATGTTAGTTTGTAAAGATAACGATAAGACATTTATTCTGATTTTTAACGAGTGCAACATTTGCCGTGAGTTGCGTATAAATTGAATAAATAACTCGATTATAAATTAAATTGAATAACTCGGATTAACGATAGATTTACGGAGCGTAAAAAAACAGCTGTTTTATGTTAGTTTGTAAAGATAACGATAAGATATTTATTCTGATTTTTAACGAGTGCAACATTTGCCGTGAGTTGCGTATAAATTGAATAAATAACTCGATTATAAATTAAATTGAATAACTCGGATTAACGATAGATTTACGGAGCGTAAAAAAACAGCTGTTTTATGTTAGTTTGTAAAGATAACGATAAGATATTTATTCTGATTTTTAACGAGTGCAACATTTGCCGTGAGTTGCGTATAAATTGAATAAATAACTCGATTATAAATTAAATTGAATAACTCGGATTAACGATAGATTTACGGAGCGTAAAAAAACAGCTGTTTTATGTTAGTTTGTAAAGATAACGATAAGATATTTATTCTGATTTTTAACGAGTGCAACATTTGCCGTGAGTTGCGTATAAATTGAATAAATAACTCGATTATAAATTAAATTGAATAACTCGGATTAACGATAGATTTACGGAGCGTAAAAAAACAGCTGTTTTATGTTAGTTTGTAAAGATAACGATAAGATATTTATTCTGATTTTTAACGAGTGCAACATTTGCCGTGAGTTGCGTATAAATTGAATAAATAACTCGATTATAAATTAAATTAAATAACTCGGATTAACGATAGATTTACGGAGCATAAAAAAACAGCTGTTTTATGTTAATTTATAAAGGTAACGATAAGACATTTATTCTGATTTTTAACGAGTGTAACATTTGCCGTGAGTAGCGTATAAATTGAATAAATAATTCATAATTGTATCTTTACGGTAAGAATAATCGTAAATTATGAAATTAGTGACCCTCCATTTTGACGGGTTCCGTAAATCTAGCGTTAACGCTGACAGGTACCAGATGGTAAAAGTGACTCGTCCGTGTTGCCTTATACAAATTACAGTATTGGATTTATTTAGATTTTCTTCAATTTTTATATTAATATATGTTGGGATAAATAAATTTATGGTAATGTATCTTGTTATAAAACATTGTTTTATATGAAATAATCGTTGAAAAAATTTTAGTATTTTCTTTCTAAAAATAATAAAAATACTTCGAGAACAGCAAATGATAATAAATTTAAAAAAGTCGAAAGAGAAATTGCATCGTTTTACTGTGCCCACAAAAATGCGTCAAAATATTCTTCTTGAATCTCATTCAAAATTTAAGCAAAATTGACAAAATTGCATCTTTTTCGTAAGATATCGATCAAGACCAGTAAACAATTTTAGAAAAAGTTGAATAAAAACATCGCATCGTTTACTGCGTAAAGTGTTTTTATGAATGAAACTTTAGACGAGATTTCAGAAGAATTTTTTGACGCATTCTTGTGAACACAACGAAACGATGTATTTTTCTTTCGACTTCTTTTTATTTAGTACGCATTTGCGGTTCTCGAGGTATTTTACGAGAATGAAAATATTGAAATTCTTTCAAGATCTGTTT